TGGTCGGGGAGGCAGTGCTCCAGGATCCTCTGAATCACTCGGCAGCCATAAGGATGCGTGGACAGAGCAAATACCTAAGGCCAAACATAAGAAAGAAGGCAAAAAATAACAGCTGTCACTTCCAATGCTTCAGACTGTTAATATACATTATCTCACTCACCTTCACAATGACCTTGACAGACAGTCATGGTTATTCTGTACATACAGATGAGAAAACTGAAGCTCCTATAAGTTTACATAATGTGCCAACAGTCATACAGATAGTAAACGACAGAGCTAGATTATTTTCTAGTATGGCTCAAAAACAAAAATTATAAACATGACATTAGGTTCTATGAACAATAAGGTGTGTATGTATGTATGTATGTTTGTAAACCCTTTTCTTAACTACTCTAGGAATTCAGAGATATACACAAATTTAGAGCTGAAAAGGACTTTTCCAAGGAGCCTAGGAAGAGAATTTAGTCAAGGTCATGAAAAATACACTTGGTTTAAGAGCCCGCGTCAAGGGACGTGGTGGGGATGGGGCAGGGACAGAAAAAGGGGTGGGATCCGATCCTGAGCGCTTTCACATCATCATAAAGTAACATTCTGAGTTGAAGTGGGGTGTGTTCCGGCAATATGGAAGGAAACCCCTTTTGGTTGGTCTAGTGAGGGAAGACACAGGCTTCAAGTCCAAACCACCTAATTTCCACTCTGTCCGTCCGAGCCAAATGACCTGGACCAACTTGCAACTTAGGTCTGTTACTGAGAATGACAAGATGCTCTGACTGGTCTGGTTCAGTAGGTTCAGGGTTGCTCCGCAAAGCATAAGGTCACCAGTCTGACGCCCAGTCAGGGCACAGGCCTGGACTGCAGGAACCCTGGCTGGGATGTGTCAGGAGAGGCGGCCCACTGATGTTTCTCTCTTACGACACATGTCTCTCCCTCTCTTTCCCCTCCTTCTTCCTCTCTCTAAAATAAACAAACAAAACCATAAAAAATGACAATAATTGTAAAAACACAGCAACAGCTAACACTTATTAGATGTCTGAAAGTATCAGTCGCTGTACCATGTGCCTTATGTATCGTTTTATGTTGTAGCTTCGTGTGTGTAACTACATCCTTACACAGTGTACTATGTGGTTCTGCTTAATTGTAACTACAGAAATGCTTACACAGTCTGGAACAACTTATTTCACTCAATTTGATGTTTCAAACATTTGCTTATAATACAGTAAGGTTCTGCAGTTTACTGTGTATAGCTGTACAGTATAATGTTAAGTACACAAGGCTTTTATTTTTTAATTTTCTATCAAATTCTCTGCTAATGGACGTCTGGATAATTTAGGGTTTTTTTCCTACCAGGAGAATAATGCTACTTTGAACATGTCAAAATACGTCCAATGATGCACATCTGCAAATGTTTCACGTGGTATACAACTTGGCCAGGAGTGCCAAGTCTCACAAAATAAAAGTGCTGATCCTGAAAGAAGATCCTAAATTATTTTCCCAAATGGTTGTACTAATATCGATCACCAGCAACAGTGGATCAAATCCCACACCCCACACATAGCAACTGGTGGGCAGGAAGTGGCCTATCAGTGTGGCTTTATTTTGCACACTCCTGATTATTAAAATGGAGTTATTTCTTCATACGTCCACAGGCAATTTGTGTTTCTTCTACACATCCATGCTTTTGAACTATTTTCACATTAATTTATATTGTTCTCTTTGATTACAGGGATTCTTTATATATTCTGGTTATCAACTCTTTGGCAGTTTCATCTTGAAAATATTCTCTTCCATTTAGTCATTTAATGCTTTTACTTTCTCAGTTACATATTTTGAAAAACATAAGATCTTAATTTTGAAGTTAAAAAGATCTCCCCTGCGCCCATTAACTCAGAAAATACCAATAACTCGCTCAGTTAATGTCTGTAATTTACAACCCTCTGCCATATCTGAACAAATCCCCTAAACTAAAAAACTCCAAAATCCCATTTCGATCTAGACTTAGCAGTACACATAACTACACCTAACAGGTAGAATAATCTATTTGTTATTTCCCTTTTTTGAAAAAAATTTGATCACCTATGAAGATGTATTTTACTGTCTTGTCCCACCTAGCTTGGGAGGGGGCGGGGTATGAGGAGTTAATGACAAGAGTGAATTAAAGGGCAACTCTAGAAAAACCATGGCATAAGAAAACTGCTCAGCAGCTGGTACTAGGAGCACACAGGCTCTTGTGACATACGGCTAAATAAAAATAAATACATAAAAGCTATTTCTAGCTGTGCCACCACTTACTAGAGTTCAAATCAACCTAATCACCACCCTACCTGCTCCACAAAGAAAAAAAAATCAAGGAAGAAACACCATGTTATTTTAAACAGTCACATACAACCTGCAAGATTAGTTTTGTAAATTACTTGAATTTTAAAATATGATTAAAAAATTTCAATATCAAGATAAACAGTACTTAACCAAAGGAAAAACTTTATTCTTCAAATATGAGATTTTCCCATAACAACTCCGATGACTACCTCGTCCCGACCTGAGCAGACATCTGCGTGGTGGAGAGAAGACCCACGGCAGTCAACGGGAGGAGCAAACTTGGGGGCAGAGAGCCAGGTGTCCAAACCACTGCACACAGCTGCTCTTCACTGCGGCTCCTGAGGACTCTCCACAAACCCTGCCCTCCTCTCCGCTCACAATGGAAACACATCCCAATTTGTTTTCCTCGTTTCTTTCCTAAGTCACTTACCTGTCCCTTAAACGCATCGATGATAAACTGCAAAGACTGAGGCTGCACACATTCAATGCATTTCTGAACCACGTGATTGCCATTCTGGTCCTTCACACACTTCAGGACGTGGCCATCTAGCTCCCGAACCATCTCATTCTATTGGGGACAAGGAAAGAGAGCACCACCAGAATCACAGTGAGACACACCTGGACAATCAATGTTCTCCTTACCAAACACAAAAGCACGAGTGGGAAGGGGATCCACAGCAATGAAGTGTGACAACTCGACTGTGGCACCATGGCAGTGAGTGAGGAACAGACTTCTCCCATGTTAATTAGCAAACTTCCTGTAACCGTAACCAGTCTTTTAAAAACTATTCTAACTTGCAAAAGACCCCTGGGAGATTACAACCATAGACATCTGCAAACAGAATGGAACCTACATTAAGTACCCCTTATCAGGGAATTTCACAGGCAATTCAACATGTTTCTATTAAGACAACCCTGCAAGGTGCACACTATTATTAATAGTTGTTAATCTAGAGGTCATTCTAGGCTAGGCACACTTTTAACTGCTGTGACTTAATGAATGCTCATAACTATCCTATGGACTGAATATTGTAGATATGGGAACCGAGACAGACAAATTAAATGACCTGTTAAAATCCCAGACCGAGACTGCCTAGAGTCCAACACAAGCAATGTGGCTCCGGTGTGTGGCCAAGCAGTGCGTGTCAGTAAGCCACCTGCCAACTGTATAAAGAAACTATACAAAAACGGAACCTGAAAGGTGCTCAGTAACGTGTGGAAAAACTACAGACACTGACCAAGTCAGAACTCTCGCCCGGGTCTGTGATATTTCCAACATGATGCTTCTACCAGGGCACAGTGACTGCGATGTCAGCAAGGATAGTACTCACAGTTAATTAATGACAAGCGCCCAGACCCAGAGAACACACAGAGGATGAACACTGAAGGTGTGTGTGTGTGTGTGTGCGTGCGTGTGTGCGCGCACGCGCAGGGCACAAGTGGGAATGACCAGGGCATAGAAAATGAGACGAGACTTTGGACCGGACTCCTCTCCCAAAATGCGCCCCCTCAGTTCTCCTGAAGCTGAATGCCTGCACCACGCATGTCCAGAAACCTGGGACTTGCTGTATCCATCTCTGCATATCAGTTCCACTGTACTGGCTCCATGTTTATGGTGGAAGACGACAAGCCAGTATAAAATGGTGACATTTATGAATGCAAAGTCTTAAATTCTGAAGATGTTGAATATACCAGAGCGTCTAAGAGATGCTCTAATTTTAAAAATCAAGATTACAATGTCAAGGATAAGCAAGGGGCAATAAATGGGAAAGTTTCCTAAAGAAATTAATCAAATGTCAGGAGAAAAATTTATTCTGGAAATATAACAAGGGGCTAAGTAGAGAATGATACCTATATAAAGGCAAGGAACACCTGTAATGGAAATGAAGGGGAAGTGGCTTCCCTGAGTATTTTCTTAAGTCCAAAGAAACCACTAGAGATGAGTTCACTTCAACAAAAGCATAAACTTGTATCTAGAAAATAGCACATTGTCCATAGCAGGAGTAGAGGTTTGGGCCCAGAACAAGGTGTCAGAAAACCAGACCAGGAAAAGACACACAGAAACTCAGCGTAGAAAGAACAACAGCTGGGGGGAGGGGAGGGAGGTGAAAACCACACTGTGTGATCTGATCAGAAAATAAAAAAACCTGAAAGGTTAGGAGACAAAATCAATATGTTATCACAATCACAGGAGAGAGCAAAGAGAAACAGAAATAATTCCCTGGAAACTATCATATTCTCGATATCTTTCAGTAAGTGGGCATTAAGGTCAAAATCAGGAAGAAACCTCCCTTATAAAAAAAGAAAAAAGGAAAAAGAAAACAGACCAGAGAATTAAAGAGAAGAGATTTGACCATGACAAGCCCCAGGTAAAATGAAAGTGGACAACAATCTGCACATCAGAAGAAGACGAAATGCAGCAGCCTCGCCCTGCTTCTCATTACTGACACCCCACCACCCACCGCGTCACTGAGGCATCTCCTGCACTGAGCACTGAGGACAAACCCAAACCTGCTGTGTGGCTCCCACCTTCCCTGCGCCTCCCCAGCCTCCCAGCCCGCACACCCGAGTCTCACAACACAAGGACTTTGGACTCCCCCAGCCCTCAGCCGCCATCGCCATCACCAACACCGATGCCGTGTTCTGCTTGGTTCTGCTTTGAACTGCAGATGGTGGGTGCCTCGTCTGGCTCAGAACTTGAGTCCATAACAAAGTTTCTCATCGCCAAACTGTGTTCTCAGTGAGGGCAAGTGGCTCATCATTGCCAGAACAAGGCCATCCCCTCCACTGTGAAGGGCTGAGTGAGTCCTGAGCCCAAAGGCTGAGGGTCCAGATCAGAAGCACCCCAAGGCTCACAGCACAGACAAAGCTGCAGCGCACCTGCCTGGGAGTATGTTAGGCTTCCGGGGCCCTGTGGTCTCTGTGGGGCTGCGTGAGGCTGGTGGGCCCTGTGCCGTGACTGCTCCTGAAGCTGCAGGCTACTGTGGGTGCTTCTGGGGTCAGCTCCCACTCCCAGCACCCAACACTGCAGCCTTCTCTCCCTGTTCTCCTGACTCCTCTTTAGCCTGGACTTCTCCTCCTGCACAGCCTCCCTCAAAGACTCGGGGCACACCCTTCCCCCCAACACTGTGGTCTGTGGGCAGGCACTCATTCAGTAAGTGGTGGTGGGTGAATGAATGAGAGAGAGCAAGTGAAAGAAAATGGAAGGTGGACTGGATTAATGCTTGCTTTGTTGGAATGGTCAGTTCAGGCTGAAGAAAATGACAACTTACTAGTATCTTACATCTTTCAACTCTTGCCAAACAAAAAGCCCACCTGTAAAATTGCAACTACTAAAACCTAAGTTGTCAAAGAGAAAGAACAGTATTTGAAACCCATGGTTTTAACAAGACACTTATCTACGATAAATGTACAAATAGCACAATTCATGCTTGTCATGCACAGAAAGGCAGCCACGAGCACCAAGAAAAACTATAGAAGTAAAAGCTGACAATTTACAAGGCTCACTACATGTACCATGGAGAAACATCAAACACCAAGAGAAAAGTTAAAGGGGAAACTTACAAGTACCTGCTGGTCTGAGGGAATAAATTCAAGAGCTTTCTGGATAACACGACAGCCATACATCTGCAGTGCCAATGACAGGACATGACCTCGAATCCGTTCTGCCAAAGCCAGCTGCTGTTCAAGGCTGCCAAACTAGACACAATGTGTGGGTGAACACCATTACTTAGAAGGAAAGAAGCCAGAGAAAGCAAAGCATTCATTATTCTGCATCAACCACTGGCATACCCCCTTTAAACCAGTCACCTATGATTATACCTTTTTTTAAAAAAACATTTGTTTCTGCCCTGGCTGGTGTGGCTCAGTGGACTGAGCACCAACCTGCAAACTAAAGGGTCGCTGGTTCAATTCCTAGTTAGGGCACATGCTTGGGTTGTGGGCCAGGGTCCCCAGCAGTGGGCATGCGAGAGGTGACCACACATTGATATGCACCCCCCGCAATCAATCAATCAATAAATAAATAAATAAATAAATTTAAAAAAATAAAATAACAAGACGTTGAGAACTTGACAAATCTGTTTTGCGACAGGTACTGTACAGCCTCAGCACCTTCCCTCTGTGCTGAACTCTTCACCTAACGCTTCATTCCTTTCTGGATTTATAGCTTGGGCTTGTGGACCCCGGTGCACCCAGGCTCCAGGAGTTTAGTAAGAACAGACACTAATCCAACAATCTCATTAATCCTTTCCAAAGACAAGGATAACAAAGGAGGACATCATTCACATTAATGGAGGAAATAAAGGAACCAAGGCCAAAGGATGACCGAAGAAACGTTGAATAATCCTCATGATTACAATTTATGAGGAAAAAACACTAGAGTGCTTGTTCAAACATAATTGTCTAGTAATCCTAAAAAAATTTATTTCTCAGAACACTTTACTGTGATACTGCTAAAATGATCTTACAAGAATTATTTTCCCCAAAAATGGCATGTTTAGTGAAACTATTGTAACGTACTAGATCAGATGGGGACAATGGTTCTCTAAACACATTTCTAAAACCAACTGGCATCATCTGCTTGCACATTTACACAAAACACAGCTGCAGATGAGCTGGAAACCATTCAGAAACTAGACTTCCAGCTGTAAGATGAGTAAGTTCCAGCAATCTATTGTACAACATGGAGATTAGAGCAAATAATACTGTATTATATATTTAAAAGTTGCTAAGTAAGTAGATCTTAAATGTTCTCAACACACACGCACACACACAAAGGCAAATTATGTGATGTGATGGTATTAGCTAACACTGCGGTTGGAATCCTTTTGTAATACATAAGTATATTGAATTAGTACATTGTATACCTTAAAAATTGACACAACACTATGTCAATTACATCTCATATATAAGAAATAGACATTGCCCCCAAAAAAGAAAGAAAGAAAAAACTCTTTAAAAAGACCACACACCCTTCATTTTGAGGAGTGGAATGGGACTGTAATTCTAAAAAGAGCTAATGAAAATCAAAATGCTCTGGAAATTCTCTGAGGTCAAAGGACAGAAAGAACAAAGGCTTACTTCAAAGAACTTCTGAATGACGTAATTCCCAAACACGTCCACCATTAGCTGGTACGCGGCCTGGAGGATCTCGTTGAAGACCAGCTGGCGCTCGGCTGGTGTGGCACGCTCGAGTTTCAGCTGAATGAATCTGAAGTACAAAGTAAAAAGGGCAATCCCAGCATTTTAGGAAGACTTGGAAATAAGTAAGAATGAGCTCAACTTACATACTGTATGATTCCTGAAACTATGTATGTACTGAGATGTACATTCACACAGGCACAGGTGCATGCGGGTTTGCAAACATACAACAGCATTACTTAAATGAATCCCTTGAGCTCACTTAATTTAAGAAACTCTAAGAAGGAAAAAATGTTTGTGGTGTGAGGTATACCCTAAATCAACTGACCTTTTAAAAGATTTAGCCCTGCCTGGTGTGGCTCAGTGGCCTGAGCAACAGACTGTGAACTGAAAGATCGCTGGTTCATTTCCCAGTCAGGACACATACTAGGGCTGTGGGCCAGGTCTCCAGTTGGGGACATGCGAGACACAACTGAATGTTTCTCTCCCTCTCCCTCTCTCTAAAAATAATAAATAAATAAACAAACAAACAAAAGCTTTAAAATAAAAAAAGTAGATTTAAGTCTTAGTATATTTCTTTACAGGACACATGCACAAAATGTGTATGTGGGTTTGAGGGGGGCATGAAAAGAGAGGAGGGTGAAGGTGGGCGTAACACAAGGAGAATTCCACCTGACTTTTACTTTAGAAACCTATCCCACATTAAGAGGCTCAAAGCTTGTGGTCCTTCCTATATTTTTTATCTCATATGCATACAAAGGAAGTGTCATTTAGGATGTGGAACAGTTGTTATACATGACGTAGTAGCTATTTAGTTCACCTTTTCTAGGTCAGATGACCACCAGCATGTTGTCGTGTGGCTCAGTTGGTTGGAGCATTGTCCCACAGACTGAAGGGCCACAGGTTCGATCCCCATTAAGGGCATGTACAGGAGGCAACAGAATGATGTTTCCCTTCCCCTCTCTCCCTCCTTTCCTCTCTCTCTAATCAGTAAGTATGTCCTCAAGTGAGAATTGAAAAAACAAATCATGTTGTCTCTCAGTCTGGTCTATAGGATCCAAATACAAGAAATCCTTGCTGAACAGCAAGCTGGCCGAACTCGATGAGGAAGCTTCTTCAGCAGCTGCGCCAGTGGGCACGAAGAGAAAGAGGAAAGTGGACGAACAGCCAAGAAGGATGAGCGGCATCAAAACCGTGCTTTCTCCCCAGGACCAGGGTCCATTTCTGGGAAGTCCACTGGAGTGGTCAAACACGGAAGGGTAAACCAAGCTAGAGTCTGACTTCTAATATCTTCGCTCTTACCTCTGGGCAGAGTCTGACTGCCACAGAGCGAAACAACAAAGACACATGGAGCTGTCCTGCTCCTGAGCAGCAGAGATACAAACTTATATCTGAATAATTCTCACCGGGGATTAAAGTAGCAAACACTCTGCAGCTCTGTCTCAGTGTTTCTGTTTCTTAAATTGTAGCCACGCAGGGAGGGTCTCATGAACTAGAAAAGATTTACCTAATCTTTCAGAAAGGTAAAAAGATTTATTTTTAAAAAGTTTGTTTTAATTAAGCATTTGACTCCAATTTCTAAATGACTCTTTTCAATCACTTGTGTATCTGGTGACCCTCATAATCCACATCTCTCTGAAGTAATGGGAAGTATATTAAGCAAACTGTTTTAACTATTTTATGGCAATTTACTTTAGCATATACCTTATCTTAGGCATGGAATTTAAGGCATTAAGATTTTAGTTACCTTAACTGCCAAAACCAAGTCCTCACCTGGACCCATGCTGGTCTTGGGAAAATTCCATTATATGCCCAGCAATTTCCCGCAGTTGTAAATTGGGGTACCGATTATTTCGAAAGTCTTCCAAAAGCCTGCTCCTGCCAGAAGGCATGACATCAGACATTCCATATCGCAAACGGGAGGAAGAAAAAAGGGTGCTGCTGGGGCTGAAGAGGCTGGAGGCACTGCTCGCACTGCGGTACTTGGCTTCAGCGCCGGGAGCAGCAGAGATGTATCTTCCACTGCCATTTGTGAGTCCTCCTGTTGGTTACAGAACAGGGGAACTCAAGACTCATTCTTAAAGAACTCTGTTCAAGACTGGAGGAGACAGCATCCCACATGTGAAAGCCTGCACCTAGTTCTGATTCCTTTTCAATTCTATTGCTTTTGTATTGAGATTCAATTCCATTAGTGCCACGACTTCCATAATGGCAACTCAGCAAGCTGGAAAGAAATTTCTGCACAAACATTATCAGGGGAATGCTTTTAACCAGATAGGATACTGCTAGCAAAACGGGAGCAACAGTTAGTGTAGCCATTAGTAAGTAAAATAATGAGTAAACTGCCTGCCGTGTGATCCAGCACCTGAGCACCAGGAATGAGAAAACACAAAATGAACGCACGGAGACTTCACTTCGGTAGTTTTCCACCCTGAGCTCTGGGGAGAATCCTGCCATTAGGGAATAATCCCCATTTCCACCTGAAACCCTCCCTTAGATAAATTTTTAAAAAATAAAAATAAAAACCAAAAAAACCCGGGGTTCCCAGGTTTGCCTGTTTTATAAAGGGGACCCCCAAAAAACTTTGAAGGAATGGTTTGTCACTAAACAGAAGTCTTAAAGCCACT